GTAGGGAAAAAGGATACTGCACTAGATAGGCCAGGGATGTCAAACGTGGCCTGTGGGCTGGATCAGGCCCCTAGAGGGCTCCTATCCAGCTCACAAGGAACTGGCTGTCTCCTGCTTCTTTCTCCAGTTCTGCTGCTGCTTCTGCTGCTGCTGCTGCTCACAGCTTGCTTTACCAGACTCTCTCAATTGCACAGGAGAGATAGATAGGCAAGCTTCTGTTCCTTGCACTGGCTGAGGCTCTTCCTCCTCCCAGGGAGGGGGAGGGAGCGAGCCAGAGCTTGCTTCCTGGCCAGGATGCCTCAATCACACAGGAGACAAAGGCAAGCGTTTCTTCCCCTCCATTGGCTGAGGCTCCTCCCCTGCTTTGTTCAATTGCCTCAGTCGCACAGGAGAAATACAAAGCACCTTTAAGGCCAACAAAGTTTTATTCAAGGTATGAACTTTTTGTCTTGCTACACAGAAAGTGTGTGTTTTGTTGGGTTCATTATGCCAGGGCTCTCCTGGGTGCAACTGGGTTCCTCTCCCCTTTTTTACTGTATTCATGCCCTCATGATCCAGTCTTTCTCTAGGAAAGCAATATGAGCTATTTAGATGAAGAATAACAACAAGCCAGTGAGGTGGATTAGGCTGAAAGTGTGTTTCTAGACCAAGTTCACCCAGCACATTTCCTTTGTAAACTGGGGCTTTTGAACTTAGACTTCCCAGATAGTAGGCTGATACTGACCACATTAAATTGCTGTCTCTCTATTCTTGCACTGCCACATAGGACTTGCAGTTATTTCTCTGGGGAAGACTATAGTTTTGTAGACAAACACATAGCCCTCAGTCTGTGTCAGGGTGCCTTCTCATGTTCTTGACCAGCACATGAAGCAACTTATGGACAAAAGCTCGCAATGCCCAGCCATTTCATGTTTTCCCCTGGGTCCTAGGCTCAGAGCACTGAGCATGAGTTTTCTGTAATAGAGAAGAAGAGATTGGATTTCTACCCCACCCTTCACTTGGAGTCTTAGAGCGGCTTACAATCCCTTTCCCTTCCCCTTCCCACAACAGATACCCTGTAAGGTAGGTGGGGCTGAGAGAGCTCACTCGAGAACTGCCCTTGAGAGAATAGCTGTGACAGAACTATGGCTGGCCCAAGGTCATCTAGCTGACTTCATGTGGAGGAGTGGGGAATCAAACCCGGTTCTCCCAGGTTAGAGTCCGCACACTTAACCACTATACCAAACTGGCTCCTACACCAAACTGGCAATAAATCAAATAATGTCAATAAATCAAAAGTAGCTTTGCAGCTTATAGATACACACCTGAACAGCATACTCAAGATTGCTACAGCAAAGACATTTTGATGCAATAATTCAAAGCAAGAGGTGTCAGTTATCAGACTGTTAAATAAACAAAATATTGCAAGAGTGCCAATGTTTTAAGCATGTTTTATTTAAAGTTTAAAAAAATCTTTAATTGTGTTTGTGTGCTTTATAAAATTTATATCTCCGCTACCTGGCATTACATTTTATGACACACATGGTCCAGCCCAACAAGGTCTCATTTATGTAAGATCCAGCCCTCATAACAAATGAGTTCGAAACCCCTGAGATAGGCCATTGGTCTCATTCAGCGGGTGTTTCACTTTCTATATCTAGGATGGTCACCAATGTATTACCACATTTAAGTGCAGAATAAGCTTTCCTTCATCCTGTATCTCTCACTGTCTAGTCACATGCATTTTCTGCTGAAGTCACTTGAGTGTGCATCTTAAAATAAATTACGAACATCAAATAATATGTAGCCTGTGTGTAATCATAAGTTATTTCTCAATACCAGCACAAAGGTGGTGTAACATGACAAAACACATAACAGGAAGTGGAATGGAATTTCCCCTCTAGTGAAACATCCAAAAACTTAAACAGGAAATGAAATCAATATTGTTGGTGTATAATAGTGACATCTGAATGACAGTGATATCCTTCTAAGCCCACTGACTTCAATGAACTTAGAAAAGAGTCAATCCACTTAGGATTGCACTGTATAGTATACAATCATATGATTCGTGGAGAAAGTCATATAGCAACCTCAGGGCATTATTTCAATCACAAAATGGCAAAAAGATAGTTATAACTTAATTGGCTGATCTAGTAAATAAGGACTTGATGTTTCATGGCCATATAAATATTAAGATATTTCTTCCTAAAATGAAAAAAAAAACTTTAAAATCTTAGTTCAAAATCAAATGAAAATCAAATTCAGCTGTAACCAATGCCATATTGCCTATAAACTGTTAAACTAAAATGCCAAAGTAAGAAAAAGTGATGTAGTAACTTTAAATTAGGACCAACTGAGAGGACACAAAACAGTGCAAGTTTTCAAGTTCTTCAGAACTCTTCATCAGGCTGGATATTACAAAAAAAAATTTAAAAAGCAAGAGGAGAAGCAGATTTTCAGATAATGACATTAAGATGACATTTTTCTTGTCGCATCTTCTTTAAAATGCTGAAGAGACATGGAAATTTAAAATGGTTACTGGTGTTAGGTGGCAGCCCTGGCATCCTGGGAAGAAGAAGAAGAACATTCTCAATGGAGATAGATCAAGATGGGTAGCCGTGTTAGTCTGTCTGTAGCAGCAGAAAAGAGCAAGAGTCCAGAGGCACCTTAAAGACTGAAAATATATGGCAGGATGTGAGCCTTCATGAGTCTCTGCTCACTTCTTCAGATAATTCTCAATGGGAAGAGTCAGTTTTTTTTACTTCTTCCTCCCTGCCATCTGGTATTCTCCTGGGGAGGAGGCAGCAGCGGCATGGCATCAGGGGCGTTGGACAGTGGTTGGCTATGCCCATGTACACCACTCACAGGAATGTCAGCGGGGTGCCGGTTCCTGATTGATGGGTGTTGCCATGGTTGCTAGAGACATGGACACACTCACTATGCTGCATGGGCCTCCTGGAGGGGTGCTTGTTGCTTTTTTCTGCTCTGCAGAATGTCCATAGGGTACCAAACAGTGTTGCCTGTGCCATGGCAAGGCCCCCCAGTGTAGCTACACTGTGATTCTTAGGAAAGGTCTCATATTGTGTTGGTAATCCTCAGAAATTTAATTACATTGTTATTTATCCCACAGCAAAAAGGCAATGGTGCTCCTGTTGATCTGTTCTTGCAAGAAATTTGAGGAAGTAATTGTCAGTGAAGCAGGGAACTAATTGGGAGGCAAGATCTCAAATTCACAAATGGGGCTGTTAGAT